ACAAGGCAAATTTTTCATCTTCCTTTTTTTCACCCTTACTGCAAAAAAAGGGGGGCCAACAAGTGTTGGGTACGTTCGTGTGAGTCATGGACTTCTGTCCAACCATTTGGCTTTCGTTCAGGAGGCTGGACGTTTGCGGCTTCCTACTGGCCAAAGTGCCAAGTATCTATACCCGAGCCTCGGTTTCCCGACTCCCCTTGCCGCCAGCATCAAGTCGACTATCATGACATGCTGGCGGCTATTTTGAGAGTTGCAAATGACAAAAAAAACGCTTACGGGCCTTAGAATGCCTTGCGCTTGTCATGGCGCGAGGTTGGTCGCGTTTTGGCACCCCGAAGGGCAACTATTTGCAAACAGCATGCCGCTTGTGCAAAGTGTAAAAATTTGATGATCCAAGGATGCTCAAGTAGAGAGACTTCCCGCACCCAGAGACCCGCTCGGAGGGTTGGCCCCTGGAAGTACTGCACTAACAATTCTTTCTTTGGTGACCTCGCAGAGCCGCTCGGGGAAATCAAGCCTTCCGCTTCGAGAGACGAGACCCAACCCTTCCTTCCACCCAACAAACAGACACGGAGCTTGGACCCCTATTACACAGACGTTCGATTAATCTATACTAACTAATATTACATTCTGTCAATGCCTCTTGACGTTGTACACAAGGTGCAGGGTTTCTTTTAATTAGTCAACTCGCGATCTTCATGTTCAAAAGAAAAACAGTCCCCTTTGTGCTGGTTAGCCCAGTGAAGGCATTATTTTGCCGGCGCTGAATTTGCGCCAGCTCAACTGGAACGGACACGTGGCTTGACTTGTGTTTCTTTCACGTCAGCGTCAACATTCAGCAATGTCAATCAGTTCTTGTCGAGCATTCCGCTGCTGAAATCCAGGAAGAATGAAGCCTGGCCTTGTTTTTCCTTCTTCTTTTTTGTACCTAATTACTGGTCATATGTACAAAATTGTTGATCCTTGCCCAGCGGCCAATCACCCATCTACTTGAATAAAAGATGAAAAAAATTATGCGAAAAAGGGGGGAAAGGGTTGAAGCAGATATCATGCACATAAAAACAGATCAAGTCATGTAGTATTTGGGTCCTTCGCCACCTTGAGGAACTTGCCAGTTGATATCTTGTTGGGGGGCTTTGATGTCGCACGTCTTGCAGTGGATGCAACTACAGAGATGATTCGTTAGCACTACTTGTTTATGCCTCAGGAGTGCATGCCGGGTCTGAGATGTGGCTTACTTTTGGGAGTTGATTTGGAACCGGACACCGTGGGGTTTTGATTCATCCTCGACGTATTCGTACACACCGGCCGGGCAGAAGCGATTCTCGAGACCTTTAAAGGGGGGGTAGGCCTTCTCGGTATGCGCATCCCAGTCCTTGACTTGCAAGTGGACGGGCTGGTCTTCCTCGTGGTTGGTTCCGGTTCGAGAGACACTGGTCAGGATGTCAAAGGAGATCTTGCCATCGGGCTTGGGGTACTCGATCTTGGGAAACTGGTCGGCGGGCTTGGTAGCCGCGTAATCTGGCGTCTTGTGCTTGAAGGTCCACGGAACGCGGCCCTTGAGGATGAATGCTTCCAGGGCAGAGTACAAGACACCGCCGATGGCACCGAGCGGTGAGTGGAACGAGGGCCGCATGTTGCGAACCTCTTTGAGTTCCTTCCAGATGGGTGATTTGCGGAGTGAGTCTTCGTAGTCGTAGAGGAATACGGTGCCTTGGTCGCTCTGGCTGAGAGCGTTCCAGGCGGCCTCGGCGGCGAGCATGCCGGACTTCATGGCGTTGTGCGTCCCCTTGACTTTGGGCACGTTGATGAAACCCGCCGAGTCGCCAATGAGGGCTCCTCCAGGGAAGGCTACTTTGGGAATGGACTGGAATCCGCCTTCGACGAGAGCGCGGGCACCGTAGGAGATGCATTTGCCCCCTTCGAGGACGGTCCTGAACGTGGGGTGCTGCTTGAGTTTCTGGAATTCTTGGTAAGGTGACAGCCACGGGTTCTGGTAGTCGAGCGAGACGACGAGGCCCAGGCTGACCAAGTTGTCGCCAAAGTGGTACATGAAGGAACCGCCGTAGACGTCCTTGGGCAGAGGGTAGCCCATGGAGTGAACAATCAGTCCCTTGTCAAACTTTTCGGGGTCAACTTCCCAGACTTCCTTGATGCCCAGGCCATATGTCTGGTGCTGGCTGTCCTTGCGGAGATCAAACTTGTTGATGACCTGCTTGCTCAGGCTGCCGTGGCAGCCCTCTCCAAACATGGTGACTCTGGCGTGGAACTCCATGCCTCGCTCAAAAGTATCCTTGGGCTTCCCATCACGACCAATGCCCAAGTCATTCGTAGCCACGCCTTTGACGGAACCATCAGAATCGTATAGAACCTCGGCAGCCGCGAAACCGGGATATACCTCGACACCAATCTCCTCGGCCCGCTCAGCCAGCCACTTGACGAACTGGTTAAGACTGACAATGTAATTGCCGTGATTGTGCATTTGCGGCGGTGCCAGGACGGGGAAAGAACCGTTCTTGGTCAGGATTTTCATCTTGTCCTTGGTCGCGGGCGTAGCGTGCTCGAAACGGTTGGGGTTCTCCTCGTCGAGCCAGTCGGGGATGAGCTCATTGATGGAGCTGGGCTGGATAACGGCGCCTGAGAGAATGTGCGCGCCCATATCGCCGGCCTTTTCGAGGACAAGGACTCTGAAGTCCTCGTTGCCGGCGTCGTTGGCGAGCTGCTTCAGCCGAATGGCGGCACTCAACCCCGCGGGTCCGCCACCGACGATGCACACATCGACCTCGTCGGACTCGCGCTCAATGGAGGCCGGGTTGAAGGATTCGTCCTCCTCGGCGTCGTATAATCGCCGACTGGTGGTGAACAGCCGCATGCCGGCCAATCGCTGCAGGGGCACCGGCCGGGTGGTCGTGATGCGAGCAGTCCTTGACATGAAGCCGATCGCGGGGACTGCGCGTCGGGGCGTCCAGCGCGCAATTGATCGTGCGCTGCGGTGGACGCATCTTGACACTGGCACGGGAGCCGACATGACTGCTGCTAGGTGACTGGTGAAAGTCCCTGTGGTGCACCTGGTGTCGTTGCGTGAGAGGTGTCTGGTGATTCCGGGACTCGAGCCGAAGTTCGTTCAGCCTAGGTGTGGCGAGCGACGTCAAGATAGCCGGCGAGTGAAAGCTCTCTGACATTAGCTGCGACCCAATTGGTCGATTGGTGCGGGTGGGCAGCTTTTGAAGCCGATCCAAGCCGGTGGTCGGTACGTTTTCGGTACGAGCCCGTCGTGCTGATTTGGCAGTACCTAGGTCCTACGGAGCAGTTGATGATGCGTGAGGCCGGGCACAAGAAAAACCACAGCCAAGGATATGGATGGAAGCCGAGTAAAAACTGGCTCATTGAGTTGTATACCGTTGAGCCGAAAATGTCAATACTTGCCTTCAAGGTTCTTTCTGTGCGCCCCCACCCGATCGATAGCCCATATACCTCATACCTACCGGAGCGTGTAGGGTAGTCTCATGGCGGAAAGCGAACAAATCCGCTTAATAGGTTAAGAATGGCGTTGGTTGGTGGCTGGGACATTGATTGGGTTATTCTTACGGCCTGTTCTTACGGCCTGTAGGTTACCATCTGCGCCGTGGATGCTGACTATGCGGCGATGTTTGGTGGTTGATGACGGTCGATGTCTGGATGAGTCTCGCATTAGCGTGAAGATGGAGTTCAAATTGACAGCGCCCACTCGAAGACAATTTGCTGTTGTCGAGCAGTCGAGCTTTTACCAGTTAGATGCGCGCCCTCAGCGCCCTGGTGCGAGAGATGTCAGCCAAGACCTAAAAAGGAGCCATGCAGAGAGTGACACTGAAGAGCAAGTTGCTTTTTGCTTTATTACTCCGTACACTACTGGCCTTCTCCACTCGAGCCATGCATGACACTTGGACACCCCACACTCGTCTGTTGGAGATACTAATCGGAGCACAATTAGTTACTACATTCAAGACTACGCCACCAGGGGCATCCGTAGAGTTCCTTCAATGTCGGTGCTCCTTCAGCAACTGTTCTACGACAGGCCAGAAGCATACTCCGCACATCGCACGCATTGGCAGAACACTCTAGTCTGTTCATCCTGGCAATCCTCCCATGGTCAGTAACGGTGCAGCATATGGCACTGACTAAGGCAGCAATACGACGAGGCCAACAATAAACGCCAAAGGCAAGGCATAGGCTCACCGATTCCCCAGTACGCCCGTCGTACTGCAGCCAACATGCAGAGTATCACCCACCAACTCTCCGTGCTTGACCTCAAGCCATCTTCTGTTTCTGAAAAATGCGGGGACTCGTCTTGGGTCGGACCAACAGCTTTTTGAATATACCTACTCAATAGTGACATGATACAGACCAATGTTGCGGTCACCCAGACCGCTCAAGGAATATCAAGAACCAAAGCTCATGTACGTTCCCCGCATGGCACACCCGCCATCCTTGCCATCGGCATTAACAGCAGCCAAAGGCCATCCCTCCCCGGTGCAACGCAACAGCCCTTTCGTCGAGTCAATACCGGAACGGCCAACAAACCCACAGATCCATCATGGCGCTAAGGGCTACTTTGGCAGGTCAAAGGAGGCCTTCAGCATCTTGATATTCGAACCCAGTCCAGAGCTGTTACCCCGCATTATCTGGAGGATTCTCGGCACCTTTCTTAACAGAATGACCACGATCAACATGACAGCCAAAGAGAGTAGGGGGATTGGCGGATGGTGTGTTTGTATTTTGGTTGTTGGTCTCGCGGCAGTGAACTGGTCCTTAAAAGGGAGCAGTAGAACCACGGAATGCAAGCTAGTTCGTTTCGTAAACTTGGGAAAGGATCGCCGAGACTGAGATAGACAGGCTCGTTCCCTTCGTCAGGTCTTACCTGGAAAGAGCGGATCACTTCTGCTCCATCTCGTTCAAAACTCTATTTGAACGTTCCTTGTCACCAGTAACATCCAAGGGCGCCGGGATACGGACAGAGAGCCATGAAGTGGATTCAGCTCATCGCCATTGCCGCTGTGGCTGCGGCAGAGGTGCCGAGCGATTGTCCTGCCTACGACAACTACGCCGCCCAGCGCCACCCTCCGTATTCATGTGGCAAATGGAAGTATCCGTATCAGCGGCCCGAGGCGAGATGTCGATCTTACGTGGTCCCAGAGGTGGAGATGACATTGAAGAAAGCAAAAGCCATGATCAAAGACGGGGACTTGTACAGATTGTTTCTGAATACGTGGCCAAACACGGTGGACACTACGATTCTGTGGCATGGGAAGGCGTTGGATAATGCTGACGAAGAGGTACCATCCCATCATGCAAATGCGGACCCAACCGGCAAAGCCTGTTCAACCAAGCTTGGTTATTCGAGTTCTTGCTCTGGTCAGACGTTAATTCTGCTTATAGCTTGCCTTTGTAACAACTGGCGACATCCACGCCATGTGGCTTCGCGACAGCGCCAACCAACTCCAGTCCTACAAGCCAATTCTCAACATCATTTCCCACAACGCCACCAACAACATTGCCAGTCTGTTCCGCGGCACCATCAACCTCCAATCACGATATATTCGCAAATTCCCTTACTGCAATGCCTTCCAACCACCTCCTGACTCTAAACTTCCACTCGCCAACCACAAGCGTAGCTTGCTCGCTAAGCGCGGTGATACAGTTAACCCACCTTACGACCCCAGCGTCGTATGGGAATGCAAGTATGAGCTTGATTCCATTTCAGCGTTCCTTCAACTCTCATGGGACTACTATGATGTGACCGAGGATACCGAGTTCTTTGGCAAATACGGCTGGGCGGATGCCGTCAAGACCATTCTCAAGCTGGCAATGACATGATGACGGGTACTTACACGGAGGACGGGCAAGTCAACAAATCGCCGTACACGTGGTTCCGTGACTCGAATAGTGCTACGGAAACGGTGTCAAACCGAGGCACTGGAAACCCCGTTGCCGGTAACATTGGTCTCGTGCGCAGCTTCTTCCGGCCGTCGGACGATTCCACCATCTATCAGTACTTTATCCCTGCCAACATGATGTTCTCGCGCTTTCTCAAAGCCTGTGCCGAAATTATGCAGACCATAAACAAAGACACCGCCTCGCAAATGCTAACGATGGCGCGGGGTATAGAAAGCGCCATTGAAAAGTATGGTATTGTCAAACACCCCAAATTCGGTGACATTTACGCTTACGAGGTCGATGGTTTCGGCTCTCACAACTTCATGGTCTGTCATTCCGCCACAACATGTATTGTAGTATACCTCACTAACGAAGCCTTGATACAGGACGATGCCAACATCCCCTCTCTGTTAAGTATCCCTCACATCGGCTTCAAACCCAACACCGACACAGTTTACCGACGCACTCGCGAGTTTGTTCTCTCCCGCTCCAATCCATACTTTGGCTTCGGACCAGTTCTTAATTCAACTGGTGGGCCGCACCTGGGCCCCGGAATGGCATGGCCGATGGGCGTCATCATGCAGACCATGACCTCGAGTGACGACGACGAGATTGTGCATGGCATTAAGCAGCTAATGGGAGCGACAAGTGGGCTTGGGCTCATCCATGAGTCTGTTAATACGCATGATGATAAGAAGTGGACTCGGTCTTGGTAAGTACTCAAAGTGTCCAAAGCCTACTCCCAATGCGCATGGATTGCTGATATTTGCAGGTTTGCCTGGGCGAACGGTCTCTTTGGGCAAATGATTCTGGACCTTTTGGGCAGAAAGCCGCATCTCCTCGCGAGAAGCTACCAGTAGAAGGTAGACTATGACTCACCCTGTACGTATTAATCACAAATACGTCAAACATAGCCTCATGAATTATGTCGTACCATCAAGATCGAAGCCTTCTTTTTTTTTTGGTCAGCCTGTGGCCTGGGCTAGATTCCAAGGCATTGTGTGTATGCATACATGTGTTGGCCATGACAGAACGATACTTTAAACACCGGTCACTAGAATCTTCCCCCAACGTAGAGTCAAGGCGCATATTATGAGAGATATGAAACCTAACTTTTTCGTGAACTTTGTCGGATTGTTCCAAGTCACGTTAGAGGAACGGAGAACAGAGACACGAACAAGGAATATGCCTCATCAGCTCCTGTAAGCTGCGGAAAACAAGTGTCATCTTTCATTAAGAAACATTAAAACGTCTAAGCCCATCTAAATATGCATTGCTCGAAAACGCTCTTCATGCGGCCCATAGATGTCGCGCCGCTCTGCATCCGTTCGAACTCCCAGTCCCGAAATATCATCTAGCTCAAGTCAAATCCCGCTCCTGATGTGACCGCGTATAGCAATTTCTCTCGCAGAGCTCTCTCGCTGGTATATATAGGTAGCTTCAATAAATTCACACAAGTACTGGTACTCGGAAGTCTCTTTTCATCAGTACCTCCATCTCTGATGCTGAATTTCGGACGGAGCTGTGCGAACCCAAGCAGTGGTGCACGGGGTGTCGAGCTGACGTATTTGAGGACATCTCTTCTTTGGATATCTGTAAAGCCCTCCATGACCTTCCAAAACAACTTGATAGTAGGATGTTCTTCATTGTCGTCCCCGATTTCGTAGAGTCCGCTATACACAGTATTGCGACGGAGGTCTTCGATGTCAATTTCAGAGGAATCTCCACCCACGAGGCGTTGAAGCTCAGACTGATTGAACATGGAGAGCCATGACGGGGGGATGATTGACCGGAGACCGCGGAGGAAAGCAGCGGTTTGGAGAGCTGGCTGGACGACAAGCCGGTGGCGAGCAGCATAGGAAATGTAGAGAAGGCGATTGTCATTCGTAACAAGGATCTCATCGCCGTTTTGGATCAATTTTCGAGTAATGGTTTTGACTGGAGCGCCAGGTGGAGAGACCTGGTCTGTAACGGTGAAGTCGAAGCCTAGTTCAGATACATCACCAGGATAATTTTTCAATCGCAGCAAGCCCTTGTACAGTTCCTCGTCCATGTCTCGTAAGTCGTTAATGTTCCCCTTGTATGTGTTTTCGTCCTTGGGGCCAGCAGATGGCCATTTCAGGAGGAAAAAACCAGCAAACGCCAAGTCCACCAGAATACCTTCGTATAGACACTTGCCGACAATGCGCCCAAGGAATTCGAATCGCCTCAATAAAGCATTCACCTTGTCCCTATACTCCTCATCGTCCTGTTTCAGGCCTTGGCGACAAAGAGATTCGCGGAGTGTGTCAACAGCTGTAGGATTAGGGAAAAGCAGCCCTTGTTCATTGGAGCTGAACATCCCTGCACCGTCTTCAGTGTTTCCAAAAGCCTCAGAGGTTACACCAATGAGAAACTCCTTGGTCACGCCACCACCGTCGATACCCGCTTCGGGTGTATCGAATTGGTCGACAAAGGTGATTTGAATGGTATCTTTTAGTCCGTCCCCTATTTGGTAGAATTGGTTGAACGCATCCTCGAAGAGCTGGCCGCGTCGAATTTTGGCATGGTGTCTGAAAAGGGGGTGTGCCGGCCCGAAGGGGCTGTTCCCATCCCGTCGTATTCTATCCATGTTAATAAACTGGCGGAAAATCTTGACTCTAGTCTCAAAAGGAACTGCGAAGGGCATATGCTTTAATATCTCCAACTTTGGACCCATCTCGGCCAGCCTTCGTTCCCTCTGGGCGCGTATTTGTTGTCTCTTCAGTCTCTCTAATCGAGCGTGGCGAGACAACCGCTGGCCTGCCATAGTTGAATAAAAGCTAGATTCTTGGTTGAATCCTTCACTAACAGTGGGCTCCTCTTCGTCGCTATCTTCGGTCTCTGCTTCATGACTCTGTCGTTCCTCTTCAGTGATGACGGCATTGATAAAATCTTCTTGTTGTAGCTTGGCATTCATCAACCAGTGATCTCTCGGGAGGAAATGTTTTCTTGAGTCCCTTTCATAGAGCATTTTGATGGCCGTGGTTATAATAGCACGAAGGCCATCCATATCAACCTTTGTGGATGCAGGTGACGTGGCTATCTCTACCGATACCGATCTGTACTTTTCAGCTCCAAGATATGAGTCAAGTCGTAATTTTGTTGCTGTGTCCGTAGTCTTCTGCGACTGTGACAAGTCCCGAGCCTGATAGAGGAGGACGAAAGCTGCATTCTTTAAGAATGTTGTCAGAGCCTCAACATCCGCCCGTGACAAGCTACATTGACGAAGACGAGAATCAGAAGCACCAACACCACCAATTTGCGTATTCATGCCACTTAAAAAGTCCTCGTCATCGCTAAGGCGCAGGATAAATGTATAAAGCTCCAAAAAGAGAAGAATCACTCGCCATTCTTGCTCCTCGGTGCTATCCTGTGACAACTGGGACGAGCCATGTAAGTACCGGCGGATGACTCCCAGTGGGTTTTCTGACTCTGTTCTCAATTTAGCAAATACTGAAGTCTGTCGCATAATCTGCCAAAGGAATTTGACCGTAGGGACGTGTCCGGCGATAGTTGGTATTTGCTCAAGAAACAATCTCATTCTTGTATCATCAGCTTTAGCTGGAAAGCAGTGTAGAAGAGTTAATATATAGCCTGCGAGTAGGCTTGTTTCATAAGACTCCTCTGTGGCAGAGCGAGCCAAGTTGGACGAAAAGTCAGAAAGAACATTGGATATTCCATCATGATCCACAAGTGATAGTAGTTGCGAGGAGATGTATGGCGCAAGGGCCCGCAACGAGCTGCGCTCATTTTCGTCGTCTGAATCGTCGACTTGGGGTTTGACACTCATTCTGATACTGATCTCTGATGATAAGAAGGATAACTGCACCAAAAGAGCTCTAAGATAAGAGAGCCTTGCGGATGAATCGAGCGAGGCACGGCCGAGACCAATATAATGCGCCAACAGCCACAGTAGACTGTCCCTAGATGGGAGTGTTGGAGCTGAGGATTCATACACAGAACAGATGGATTCAGCGAGCTTGCCAGCATTGATGGCTCGGGATAGAAGGAGGTTGTTGCTCTCGAACAGATACAAGTCGCCTCTCGTAAAGAAATTGAATGCAAGAGCTTTATAGGCTGCCCCTAAATGAATGCCGTTAGCATGTTGATTCTAACAGGCTCGAAGTTCTTAGGACTTACCATTGTCCGCCTTGGCCTGAAGAGGCATTGTGAGAGACGTGAACAGCAGCTTGTCCCATTTTTCAGCTTCTCGCTTATTGTATAGACTAGCTAGGGCAGTGTAGTACTGGTCAAGCGAATTTATCATCGCAAGAGAGTCGTAGACCGTCAGTCGGGTGACGAGTTTCAGGAGGATCGAGACGTCTAAAGTCAACGCCCTGAGACTTGAATCAGTGTTTATTCCGTAGGTAGTTGTACCATCAGGTGCATCTATGACGTACTTTTCTGAAGCCACAAGCTGTAATGTGGAAACAAGAATACTAGCCAACCGCTCGAGGCGTGATCTATGGGCACCGCGCGGGGCAATGTGTTCGATATGTGCTGATTCGCAATCTCGTGCAAACAAACAAGCTCTTTGGATATCAGCGTCGGATCGTCGGGAGAAGAAGGAGAGTAGAAGGTTAAAAGCAACAGGCAGACGTTCGGCCACGGAAATTGCTGAAGAATTGCGATACAAGTTATCGAAGGCAGCTCGTCTTTCATCGGCCAAATTGCGCCTTGTAAGGTGACCGCGCCATGTTCGTTGGATCCTGCCGGCGGCTTTTAATCTTTGCCTTTCCAAGTGCCGCTTCTCTCGCTCGGCCTGTGCATCTGATACGGTTTTCGTCGTGTTGGAGACGACAGCCGGACTCCATGATGTATTGGCAAAAGGGTTACCGGCTTGCCCGCTCAGGTTGACGTTTCGGGGACGCCTCGAATTGCCGGTAAAAGTCGAGAACATAGTGGCAGGCCCAACGGCATCACCCACAGACAAAGGCTTCTCGTAGAGAAAACCAGGTGGCTCAACTGGTAATTTGGATGCGTCCGAGATGATTTCTAGACGTTTCGGCGATGCGAGGGTTGGTAAGCTCACGAGATGGCCCGAAGCACTAGTACACAAGGTTGGATAGCTGGGTACGTACTAGGCGGGTTGGGGATGACGTGGGGAGGCCAGAAACAGTCGAGTTGTCAGGACTGCTTAGGTAAGCTGGGGCACACGGCCCGGGAGTCCAAGAAAAGGCAAAATGCATGTGATGATGGATGATGGGCTGCTTCCTCTCAGTCATCGGCACGTAGTTTGAGCCGTTGGATGCGCACGTATATTGAACAGACACTATCCCGTACATAGTACAGCTTGGCCGTTTCTATGGATGTGTGCGGATGTCTGACGCTAAAGAGAGTCTGTCTGTATGAAAAGTCACCAAACACGGAGAGTCGCAAGGGTGCCAGAATGCTCATGCATCTCCTCTGCGCTTCGGAGGCTGACGTTGCTCATTGGATGACAACAGAAGCTACTTCCATAATAAGCTGCTACCGCTGCTGCATTGATTGTATTGTACATACGGGCTACACGCGCATTGAACAGCTAAATTGCCAAATCAAAAGGCCGTGAGAAATTCAGGGTTTTCGTTGGCATTGAAGCCACTAAGCCAAGTTCAAGGTCGGCAGTACGGGTTGGTTTGGTAGGCTCAATGTTTGGGTACATGCTGTGCAAGGGATGAGTGGCATCAGCCCTCATGCCGCCAAGTCGCCGCTTCCCCCGCAATCATGCCTTGCCCTCTGTGTCGGTACTTTGGTACTGTGCGCAAAAATCTTGGCTCACACTGTTAAGCTCCACCACAGACAAACAAATTTGGACTGTGCGTATGCGTCCACCCTGCACGCGGCCAAGGCTTAGATT